GAAAAGGGTACTGGATTATGAAACATTCCACTCGAAAGGGCGTTTCTTAGGCAAAGGGAAGGAGAATTGGGGGGCAGGGAGAAATCCCCTTAAAACAAACTTGCTTGTGCTATAAATAACTAAAACATTTTATCATATACATAAGATCATTGCTAGAATAAATGCAGCATTAAGATTTTAGTGTGTCCCCATTTCCTAAAGGCTGCCTCATACACTGTTTGCTCATTGATTCCGTTGACAAAACTGAGCAAAATGCAATAATAAGATGAAAATCCAAAATCAAACAAAAAAAGACCCCTAAATATTAACTGTGGATGGTAGTTATATTTTCAGTTTGTGAGATAAGCAATACACGGGCAACGGAGAAATAAAAAGTTATAAAAAAAAGATTACACGTTCTGCTTTGATGCTCTAACATACTTTTGGTAGTTTAACATATGAACAAGAATCTCAACTTGATAGTGCCTTTTGCCTATTTTGCTAATTTGTTGGCTTAAAAAATGAATTTTATTTCAATATACTAACCTTTATCTTTAAACATGTGGGCCAACATACTGTCAGGTTCTTTATTAACCAAAGTGCTCCTAGAAAACAAAGGCAGCACAATCTTATTTTTACAATCAAGTGTCTTCCTCAAGAGACAAACTTGCTGGTTGGAGTCTATTTTCTGCTGTTGGTGTGTGATATGCATGCCAACAGCTACAACACCATACTGATTTAATTTCATATAGTGTGATAACAAAATATGTTTCTGACCTGAGGTATCGTAAAGGTATTTCAAATACAAAGCACTTTGTTAATGGAGATATTCCAATGATAAATCCAGGCCTGTTCAGGCTTTTCGCCAGTCCTACTTCATATGTAAACTATTTAAGAATTGTTGCAAAATTGTGGTAGCAAATATGAAATAGAGACAAATTTGCAGAAGTCGGAGACCTCCTACTCCATGGTAAGTTAATTTTCTAGCTCTTTTGCAAGAGCATCTGAAGCCTCACCAACTGAACGTACACTACCAGCTGCTGTAACTACTTCACTGAAATCAAGTCCTTTAAGAACAAAACCAATTTTTACCGTGTAGTGGTGAAGTATCGGCCTCCAACATTGAGCGTTAGCCAATCTGTGTGTGACCCTGTTAGTTCTTCTTGAGGTCTCCCATCAGTCTGAGGATCTATGAAAGACAGTAATTACTAGAAAAATGGTGACTATTTGTGAATCCTCCATATGGTAAGAGGTATCTTCTGAAAACACCAGAAAATAACATTTTAGGTTCACATTAAAGCAAAACAAAACCTCTTTCCATTAAACAAAAGGTTAAACTTAAGAATTACAGAGACTTACCAATGAATGGTTCCCCTTCACAGACAAACAAAACATCATCATCCCTGAAATGGGGAAGGGGAGGAGGAAAAAAAAAAAAAAGATTAATCATAATTTTTTGTTCATCTAAGTGACAGTGGGAACCCCTCCTGATTAATTTCAGTTAAATGATAATCAGTTGCCATTAGAACTTCAGTATCTGATTTTTATCTTAATTTTGCAGGTTCCAGTGGACTGTAATACAATTGACTTCACTAGAGATGTTACCTGTATCAAGCAGGTAGGGATCACTTCTGTTACTCAAACAGTTTAGTTTCACAAAACAGTTGATTTTGTCCCCACTCTGGGAGCATTCTACGAAGCCAAAGCAACACTAGAGTGTCTCCTTTTCAAAACACCCTCATCCAAGGGCTGACTAGAACAGTGGGATTTTCCTGGGACATACATTGCACTGCCAGTCAATACAGGAGGATGGTAAAAGGCATAAAACACGGCTTGTATCAAATTCTGATTCATCAAGACAGAAATGCTTTGAAGTTCAAAAGACAGTATTATTTTTCCTTGCGGTGTGAAAGCACTTTTGGGCATACTGGCTGGCAATGAGAAGATCTGTTTTTAGGCAAAGCACTGGTTATTGATTAAGGTCAGAGGATTACCAGGCTAGTAAGTCTCTTAATCCACATCCGTGATTTGACTTTTATTGGATAAGCCTTACCTAATCAAAGCGATATCATCAATGAGTCCACCTTTTCCATTGTACACACTGGTCGCTTTTATTCCAAGCTTATTACTAGCCACAGACAGCAAATCTGATAAAGTCCCGTACACAGCCACAACCTGTGGAAGAGAGAGGTAGCTACAGGCTCTGTGTTCATACAGTTTCTGCCAATTCAGACTTCTTACCAGGGCGATCAATATCTTCTTACGGGGGCAGGAAGGTATGTGTGGATCTTTACTGAAGAAAGGAAACGCACAGACCAGCTTTGATGCCAGAACCATAACTGACTTGAAGCGGGGCGACTCGCGCGTATCTTGCCAAAACTCAGCGCGCTGCAGTGGCAGCAGCAGCAGCAAGAGAAGGAGTGCTGGTACTGTAGGACTATTATGATACAGTTATTTATTTCTCTACAGAAATATTTCTTCTGTTCCGAGTCACGGAATCCCAGCATGGCAGGGGTTGGCAGGACCCTCTGTGGGTCACCCAGCCCAACCCCCTGCCCAAGCAGGGTCATCCAGAGCAGGCTGCACAGCACCGCGTCCAGGCGGGGCTGGAATATCTCCAGAGAAGGAGACTCCACAGCCTCCCTGGGCAGCCTGGGCCAGGGCTCCGTCACCC